ATCATATCCAAAAATTTATTTTTACAAGTGTTGCAAAACTATTTGGTTTATAGTTAAAACTTTTACAATTTATAAATATATTATTAATTAATAGATAGAAAGAATCACTTGAAACAAATACATAGAAAAAATATTTATCAAGAGAAATTCTTTTAAAAGAATACATTTATTTTTTAAAAATACACCTAATTAATTCTGTGCCTTTAGTGAAAGCCATCATTGCAGAAACAAAACAAATGTTCAGTGAACGGCAAGTTGAACTTTGAAAGCCTGTGGTAAGTTGTTTTCCCTGTTTATTTTTCTAAATGTTTAGATATGAAACTGAACATTGCAAATTGCCGATTATATAGGGATCTTGTCTTCATACATGTCATGATTTCAATAACAGCCTTTCAGAGACCATTCACGTCCAACCTGCCCTTCAATGATAAACATATATTATTTCTGCAATTATGTTTTTCACAAAAAGGACAGAATTAAGCAGGTGCAATTTTTTAAATACCCGGTATATGTTTTCAAGTTATATTTTCTACCTGTCAATCAATGAAATATTTATAAACTGTAAAAGTTTTAACTTTATACGAGGGCTGTTCGATAAATAATGTCCTGAGCCCTTTGGCATACAAAATAGAAATCATATGACGTTAAGCTTGACTTATTGATTACAGTTTATGTGAACACCTTTCATGACGTAGTTTCATTAAGAGAAGCTGGAAAACAAGGGCTTTTCGAGACACTGCAGTTTCATTAAAAATGAATGGTAAAGAATCATTAAACTAGAGTGAAATTAAACGCTCGTGAAAGCTGCTCTAAAACTAGTTAATATTCCCAAAGAAATTTTGAAGTTTACAGCAACAAATGTTTGTTTTATAGACATATGAGCAGGTAGATTCAATGAACATTAATGATATAATGGGCATCAAAAATGGGTACCGTCCTTAGCGATAAAAACGTACAACAAGCAATGTACTGTTTGCCAAAATTCAACAAATTATCTCAATTACTCAATGGTCACCCTATGTTTTGAAAAATGAGTGAAAACAACAGCGTAACAGAATATCTAAACAATTATTTTAAAAAATCAAAAAATGTAGTTATCCACGTTTGTCTTGAAATTCAAACAAATAGTAAAACTTAAATCCATTGCTTTAAACCCTCGAAACAAATTTACAATAAGATGCATAAGATTGACAAAAACAGCCAAGGTCTGAGAAGAGCAAAGAATTGCAAAAGTACAAAAACCGTTTCATATGCCATTTTCTTTAGTATTAGTGGTCTTGTCGTTCAAATTCTTATTCGGGGAGGCAGCTCAATTCCTGGAGAAGCCTTGAATGCAATTTTTTTTGCAAAAAATCAAAAGGTTTATGAGAGGAAAGAACTAGACTCAGGAATCCACTACATTAAATTTCTTCATGATAGCGTCCAAACACACACGCCATGAAGAGTTAAGGAGTTTTGGGGGAAAAAGAAAGTTAAGGTTTTGTCGCATCAACAATATTCGCCAGATCTTTCACCCTTTGACGTATTTTATTTCCCAAACTTGAAAAAACACGTTTCAGAAAGAAGAAACAAGTCCAGAAAATCATATAGGATCTGCCATATTCCAGTATACGAAGGGGCATACTCAAAAATGTGTGTTCTTAAAACAATCAGAAATTGGATAAAAGTGTTACAGACATGTGTTTTAATTAAAAGAAATTATTTAATTGAAATCATTGAGGTTAAATCATTGATTTTTTGTTCCTTTCCGAGCACCGAGGACATTATTTATTGATTTATATCGTACAGGGAGTTAATAAAAGGATGATAATAAAAAGAAACACTTACCACATTTTCTGATTTCTGATGAAATCTTAAATTTGAAATACATTTTTTTTCTCGAAAAACAGAGAGCACAAGCTTGTCTATCTGATATTTAACACATACTTGAAAATTGTATCTGATACCACTGCATAATATTTAGTTGTAATTTTTTGTAAGTGAGATAGTTTTGCTTTATGTTGTTGTTTTTTTTGAGACGAAATGCGCTCTAAAATTGATAAAATTTGGACTGACAATGAGAAATTCGGAAAAAGACAATGTTCTACCAAGCCTTTTCCTTGACTTCTCACTAAAGTATTAACAATATTAAAGGAGGAACTTCAAAAGTACCCTGCAACAATATACTCGAGTTGTTTACCAAAATAAGAAACATCAAAACTTACGACTTTTCAACTCTATAATACAACATTCCCCACGATAAATGAGAGTCCGGAATCTCTGACAGCTGCTTTTTCAATTAAAATGAATCTCGTTTTACTCATTATTTATTGGTAATCTGAAAACTGAAAAAATATTTTCGTTGAAAAACATTCTGTTTGTACAAACAAGTACCATGAAGTTGACTTTAAAAAGATGCTTGAGTTTCTGATTGTTTATATTGATATGGTTTTTGAAGAACAGATCTTCCAACTGAAGGAATTTCCATCGATCCCAGTTAAAAGCATACGAAGCAGAATTTATTAAAAAATATTATACACGAGAAGAAAACACTCATTGAAGCCATCAACTTGTCATTTAGACGTATCAATTTGACGACGTGCTACCAATTAACAATCCTCACTTCCATTCATATGTCGACTCCATCTTAAATTTCTCAGTGAGCTTGAAAATAAAAAGATCTCAGAGTAAAACAATTTATGTTTCATATTTCTATATTTACTAGAAAAGACGTTAATGACAACCTAACAATAAAGCTTTATCATAAACGTGATGACTTCAACTTTTCAATTTCCCTTACATACCCTCATCACCTTCACATGAGGTACATGTATATACATATATCTCAGTTGATTTGATACGCAAGACATGCTCTACGTACGAACGCATTCTAAAAGGAGGTTATTGAAAAACAAGTTGATGAAAGAAGAATGCCAACAGTCTCGTTTAAAGTCATCATTAGCATGTTTTATGGTCGATACATATTATCTTGTCAGAAAACTCAATCTACCATTAAGTCAGATGCTGATTGACTTTTTCATACTACTTGTAAATATTATTAAATATTCACACACACGAACTTTTTCCGTTATTTCCCGATTATGACAAGGAGCACATTGCAGGTATGGATGTTCATTCCTCCATGGCACCTGATCCCATCCCTGATCTAGAGCTCAGTGTTAGCTCTGCTTCTGCTTTGCATTGTATGAATGGACCTTTGAGCTCGAATACTGTTAGTTATCTTAATTTCAGTGTTTTTGTGCAGGATTCGCTGCTTACTATTATCATTCTATCTGTTTAACTTCCTTGCTGTCATGCAGTAAAGATATGTTTAGGTCTCATCTTTTTGTCAAACGGATTTTAAAATTATGACATTAACAATTTTTGGATGCTATATCCCGAATTTGTTGAAATAATTTGAGCCAGAGACATGTACATGTAAGTAAAATTACAACCGACGCACAACGATGCACAAAAACAAACAGCAGGAGGTCACTTGATTGATTAAGGTAGCCTAAATACGAGGGTTGATCTAAAAGTAAAGACACAGTGTCCGTATTTTTTATAATTGGTTTCATATTATCAAATACAAAGCAAATATGTAAATGTAATCAATATTGAAATTTTTGTTTAATAATGTTAAGTTGAATTCATTTTATAGATGTTTAAAACTTTAGCATAGGGGGTGTAAAACGCGTCCCAAATAATTTTTAAAAACATAATTTGTGTCATTTTTTATTCTTCAAATAAAAATTTACATTGAGAATTTTTTTTGGAAAAAAGGATGCATTTTGAAAAAATACAAACACATTAAAAGAGCATCTAAAACTGGTTCATTGAATGCATAATCAGCAGAGGACGTGAGGACCAAAAGATGAGAGGAAATGCTTCTTACTGGAGTTTGATGTTGTCATATGACATGCATGTTTCTGTTACGTAAAGCGAAATGAACACTCTGTCTTATGGTACTGTTCAAAATATTTTGACAGTTTTAAAACTATTGATTTTGCTAAAATCTTGTGGAGCACTGAGCAAAATCTTATGCGTGATTTCAACTTGCCCAAAAGTTCTTTCAAATTTCTGAGTACTAGTATCCACATCTGATTCACACCACTTCTTGAATATATTGTTGCACAGTACTCTTGAAGTTTTTTTCTTCACTACTGTCAATATCTAAGTGAGGAGTAAGGAAAGAGGCTTGGTTGAACATTTACTGGAACCCGCTATGTGTCTTTTTATTTGAGAAACGTTAAATGTATGACAGCCCATATCCATGATATGACGTTACAATTATTTATATAGATTCTGCAATTACTTGTACCATTATTGCACATTATATAAAATCCATTTTTTTAAAAGTAATCATGTTGAATTGAAATTTTCAGGTCTGATTTGAAATAAATACAGCTTTCATTATTATTTATAATTTGTTGCTTTACGTCGACTAGTATCAATTTCATCGTAGTTGTGAATTACTTTTGGATCAACTCTCTATCAAAAGGTTACGGGGAAATTTATTTTAAGAGATCGTAATTGAAAGACTTGGCTGGACTGATGCCATTCTTCTATATAAGACTTAGTTCTGGGAGGAGTGTTTGCATTTTCTACTTTGCTGTATTATATTACTTAGGTGGAAAATAAAAAAAAAATCAAAATATGTATTATAAAAAAATTATATTACTGAATCTGAAATCCAGTCTTGGGTTTTTACCACACATTTTTTGTATTTTTTTTTATCTGTAGCTATCTTGCATGGTTTTTATCTTGCAGTTATGTACCAATGTGCTGGCAGCTTCAGATACGATGGTATAAAATCATTTGTTCGCAGACCTACCATATAGACTGCTCGTTGGATTTTAACCTTTCAAAGACAATTACGGACAGGTCGTTTTTCAGTAGGTCATGTTTTGCCATGAATCTTGGGGAGATCATTATTCAGTGCAATAGTTCTGTTTCTTCCTCTATAATGTCTCTTTTTCACGTGAATATGTATGATTGAATTAAATTGTACCCCACTGATATCGAAAGACATGCCACAATTTAAGAATGTTAATTGGCGTCGTTTATGCTACATCATGTGCGTGAACGAGAAACACTAGAAATATGATGATGTTGATGGGACATGATTGGCAAACGTGTATCCAGATCATTTTACTTTGCTTATCATGATCAAAGATATGTCTTTTATTTTCTTTTAGTTGCATAAAGCCAAAATGACAATCAAAGGAAAAGAAAATTCGGAAGCCTTGAGGTGAGTATGTGCAAACGTCTTATTTTATAGTGTTAAGTGCAGTACCTGTATGGCCACAAGTTTGATACCCTTTACATGCATTTTTTTTTATAACTTTAAAAGCAGGAGGGCATCCAGAAGCTGCAATGATGTAGCTCTCTCCATTTTTCCAGATATTTTCTGGAGAGAGCTACAATTCCACAGCATCTCCGTAATGGTGCAAATATATTTTTTAAATACGGGCAATTACAGGCAAAATAAATTGTTTTTACACACAACTTACTTCTAAACAAGCGAAATTTTTATTTACTGTCTACATTATATATAGCCCGTTAAACGCGAAAACCAGATTTGGGGTACCCATCTTATCCGCAACTCCTCTTATAACTCTAAATGAAATTTAATGAAACTTTCACAGAATCTTTGCTACACAGGGCCATTAGGCAGGTTTTATTTTATTTTTTGATCGGACAGATATAAGACATAATAAGATTTTCCCATAGTAAAACATGGAAACTGCCATTCTTTCTACTATATTGATAGATACCCATCTCTTATCCGCAACTCATCCTATATACCACTGAATAAAATTTTATTATATTTTTACAGATTCTTTATTATGATTATGTATGGTCATTGTGAGCTCCTATTTTACTTTTTGATCTGACACTTATTCTGGGTTTCTCAGAGCAAAACATTGGTTTTGCCAGTATACATGTAATCATATGGGAGGTGATGTATTTCGAGCGCACGTTCACTTCACAGAAGGTCATGGTTATAAACCCCGGTCTTAACTGACATAAGTCGTTAAAATAAAATAAGTAGCAACTGGTCTCACTTTATAGTGAAAGTTGCAAGTCCTCTGGATGAAAACTTAAAAATTTAGGCCTTTTTGCACGAAGGTGTTAGCACAATAATTATCTCTCACAGCTCAATGGCCCTGAATGCCGAATAAAAGTCTAAATTTAAAGTCTTTTACCAGTATATGGCGACGTCTCTATGGATGTACAATTTTTGAAGGGGACGTAAAACAACAGACAACCAATCAATCGTATTTGTTTATGTGCATTTAGAAAAATGATTGATAAATATCCATTCCTATCCACTCTTAAGTTAATCTACAGAAACAATCCAAAAAGTTTAGGTAATGTACATGTGATTAACATTGGTCTGTCCAAGTTATCGAAGATTCGAGGGTACGAGGGCTGTTCAATAAATAATGTCCTGAGCTCTATGACATACAATATAGAAATCATATGACATTAAGCTTGACTTTCTTCCATGATTGAATCTTAAATGAATTGATTACAGTTCATTTGATCACTTTTCATCACATGTTTCATTGTGAGAAGCAGGAAAACAAGGACTATTAGAGACACTGCAGTAAAAATGAATGGTTAAGAACCAGTAAACAAGAGGGAAATTAAACTCTTCATGAAAGCTGCTGTAAAACTTGGTAAGAATCCTAAAGAAATATTCCCTGAAATATGTGAAATTTACAGCAACTAATGTCTGTTTTATAGACACATGAGCAGATGGATTTAAATGAACACAAATGATATAATGGGCATCAAAAATGGGTACCGTCCTAGGCGACAAATACTTAAAACAACCAATGTAATGTTTGCGAAAATTCAACAAATAATCAATGATGATGTTTGATTGAATTGAAGATGCATAGCAAAATTGATAAGCATCACTTTGGGGGTAATTTACAAAGTTTTAAAGAAACATTTGACAGTAAAAAAGCTTAGTACTCAATGGTCACCCTATTTTTTGAAAAATGAGTGAAAACAACAGTGTATAAGAATATCTAAACAACTATTTTAAAAAAAACAAAAATTGAAGTTATCCACGTTTGTCTGAATTTCAAACAGATAATGAAACTTGATTTCATTGCTTTAATCCCTCAAAACAGAACAATAAGATGCACTTGATAAAAATAGCCAAGGTCTGAAAAAAGCAAAAAATTTCAAAAGCACAAAAATAGTTTTATATGTCATTTTCTTAAATATTAGTAGTCTTGTTGTTCAAAGTCTTTTTCGGAGAGGCAGTTCAATATTTCAGGAGAAGTCTAGAAAGCAAAAATATCGAAAGGTTTATGAGAGGATGGAACCAGAATCAGGAATCCAAGTGGATTAAATTTCGTAAAGACAGCGTCCAAACCCACAGGCCATGAAGAGTAAAGTAGTTTTGGGGATAAACAGAAAGTTGATGTTTTGTCAAACCAACAATATTCGCCAGATCTTTTACCCTTTCACTTGTTTCATTTTCCAAGCTTGAAAAAAGCACCTTTCAGAAAGAAGAAACAAGTCCAGGAAATCATAGGATCTGCTATATTCCAGTATACGAAGGGCAATGCTCAAAAATGTGTTTTAAAAACAATCAGAAATTGAATGCAATGTTACGGACATGTGTTTCAATTAAAAGAGAATATTTAAGTAAAATCATTAAGGCTAAATCCTTGAAAAGCGTTTTTTCTTGCTTTCCGAGCACCGAGGACATATTTTAATGAACAGCCCTCGTATATAGTTTTTTGCACTGTCCGTTCGTCTGTTTGTCTGTTTGATCGCAAAAAAAAACCGTAAAGCTCGACCATAACTTTTGAGTGGATCGACTATGGCTTACATACTTCACAAGTGCATTCCTTGTGACAAGACCTTTCTTTGGGTGTCACCAAATTTAACCTGTCGATCTTGGAAATTTACTTGACCATAACTTCTGAATAATTAGTTCTATAATTAGAGTTTGACCCACTTTTAAAAATTTTAACCTTGGTCGTACCTTTTGAACAGATCCGTACTGGAACTTTCAAAGGTGTATTCCTCGTTACAAAACCATCCTTTAGATACCAACAATTTTGACCGTTTGATCTTGACTTTTGAGGTTGGCCCGCATTTGAGAATTATAAGCTGCCATACGGGGACATCAGTGTTTCACACACAAAGCTTGTTTTAATTAAATTTTCAGTCATAAGCATAATTTTCTTATACAGGGAGCGCTATGACAAGACCTACAGGCGCTATATCGTCTTTGTGGGGTGTCTTCTGATACAGTTTATAGCGATAGCAATGCCCTCCTCCATGCTGGGAATCGTTTATGTTGACATTACTAGAGAGTTTGACGCCGAGGCTTCCGAAGCCGCCCTCATGTTGTCCTTATTTCGTGGCATTGCTTTTGGAGGAGGTAATTTATCAGTGAATGCAATGAAATATACCTAGGCTTTCAAATCAACTAATCCTTTTTTTGAAAATCAGAGATTTCTCTCCACAAATTGTCAAGGTTTAAATTTTTGGCAAAAAATATTCCAAATTTTGACTTCTTTGAAAAGATTGTTTAGGTGACTTTGTGGTCTCTTTTGTTTAACGTAATTTTGTGTATGTTAAATCAACTAGACATGTCCAACAGGAGTGATTGGTGAAATGGTGATCAGACGAGTGGGTGAATTCCCGTGTATAATAGCAGCGACTCTGCTAGGAAGCGCCTGTATCTTATCCTCAGCCTTCGCACAAAGCATGACCACAGTCGTCCTCCTTATCGGGATCGGTGCGGGTGAGTTACCGATTTCAGATGTGAACCTTTCTGGGTCCTTAGATGTTTCAACTGAAGTAAGTGAGAAGCTTTCGTTAATATTTAATAGAAACTGAGCACAGCGTGTTGAAAGGTTAGAGACATCTGTTTTGATGATGAATATTTAATATATGGATGTTGCAGTGCAGTAACTTTGCTTCAACGTTTTGACAGAACTTATTTGTATTTATCATAAGGGAGCCTATAACTTGATTTATTCATTTTTTGGAAGAAAAATTCATCTGCATTGAGATAATCTTGCCAACAACCAAAACTTGCTTTGAGAGCATTGAGAAATATATATACTCAAATACTGTTCTCGAAATAATTATAGCAAGAACCTACGATGGCCGATATCAGCCTGTACAAATTCCGACTGCTTTTAAAATTTGTACATCTAAAATGTACATTGACATGTACATTTTGCAATGACAGTGCACACTTTGTGCTCTTAATTTTTGTCTGTAAATGTACAAAATGGCAAAAAGGCAAATGTCAAAACGTGAGCGGTTGAAACGCATATGCTCTTAATTACAATTCCTGGTCGGCGAAAAACCATTAAATATGAATAAAAGTGTACAACGGGGAAAAGTTGAACAATTAATATCAAAACAAGATTTGTTTTGTAAAACACTATGCCAGCAATGATAACACAATTCGGGGCTGGGACGTAGACGTAGTATACACCTGTAAGATGTTTTAAGGGTAGCAAAGTCGAAAACACTTAAGACCTTTTGTTTTTTCAAGAAAGTATTGTGTTATGGTTAATTACTGAATACTTTATGAAACGCAATGTTACAGTTTTTTAAATGATGGTCAAAGGTTACATTTGAGGTCACAAATTCATCTTACGTTATATTATGGTTAGACTCTTACTCGATTATAAAATGTCCTTTGCAACTTCCCTTTACTTTTGATCAAAAAGGAGTATAAACTATATAGTCATCATTTTCTGGGTTGGATGAGGGCAATTCATTGTACAAGAAATGTTTGTGGAAGGTGATTTTAATCTATTGGAATTTCATTCTTTTCAGTAAAAGGAGACAAATTTGATCATTAGTTTTAATGTTCACAAGAATGTTTACATTTTCTTTTAATATTTCTCATCCTTTTTATCGCAAAACTAATCTTCTCAGTGCCTTGTCTAATTTAATTCATATTTAATCGTTTTTCGCCGACCAGGAGTTGTAATCAGAAGCAAATGTGTTTCAACCGTTCACGTTTTGACATTTGCCTTTTTGTCATTTTGTACATGTACAGACAAAAGTTAAGAGCATAAAGTGTGCAATGTCATTGCAAAATGTACATGTACAGAAAAAAGTTAAGAACACGAAGTGTGCACTGTCATTGCAAAATATACATATCAATGTACATTTTAGATGTACAAATTTCAATAGCAGTCGAAATATGTACAGGCTGATATCGGCCATCTAAGAACCTGAAAGAATGTACATGTACATGTATTTAAATTTTAGGATGCGCCTGCGTGTTTCCGGTACTCTTGTCCTACGTCTACATAAGTCGGGCCTTTACCAGACAATCCGTATCCAAGTTTCTAACAATAATGACCGTGGGGGCAGGGCTGGGGCTGCTGACAACGCCGTATATGACGGAGTTTTTCCTGAGTCAATTCGGGTGGAGGGGCACCTTTATGATGACCAGCGGACTATTTCTTCATCTGCTTCTTATTGGAATTGTGATCCAGTTTAATCTACCACCATTAGATGGACCATCAAAAGCCAAAGAATTCAATTGGGCAGATCAAATTGCTATTTTTAAAAACAGAACATATTCAACATATTTGTTTGTTATGATTCTGTTTGGAATATATGGTAAATTGTTGTCAGATTAAAATAGATTATTTTATCATTCGATGGATAATTAATTGAACAATATTAGAAAAAGGATTTATATAAAGAGAAACCTTTCATGTCTTATTTTGAACAGGATATGTAGTTCCCTGGTTTCTTCCTGATTTCGTTGTTTCTAACAATTACACCAAACAAGATGCCGCCTTGCTGCTTACAATTAGCGGAGTTTCTAGTCTATTAGGACGGATACTGGCAGGGACTTTGGACCCTTTCTTTGGGTAATTAGTAGTAGAAAAATTCTGATTAAAACTATAGGCTGTACCAGTCAGTATATGTACTAATCATCTAGCCAAGTATCAATAATGTAGGAGAAAATACGGCTAAAGTCAATTTAGGAGCACTTGATAAACCCAAAAGAGTACATTACACTAATGCAAAGTATCATACCAATATTAAATTCAAAATAAAAGACATCAAAGAGCATGACTCACATAACTATTACATATTAGATGGCAAACTTACAGCAAAGCTTAGTCATAAAAATGATGGATAAAACTGTGTTTGTCAACTCTTATTCCTAATACAAAATACCATTATCGCCTATATATATAAGGTGTTTTGTGTCTTCTAGTTGATTAAACGCGCAATGACATTTTCTAAAACAAGGTAGACTACTGACAAATAATTGATAATACAAGGTTATCACCATCTCAAGTCAACATTTCCCAAATTTTATGATCACAACAATGACATTGTTTGCAATACAATATATTGTTGGACTGAATATCATTGATGTTTTTATATACTTTTTATACCATTATTTTTTAATTATCTTCGGATTTCTACGGTAAATTGGCCACGTTAAAAGGATCACGTCAGGAGAAGGAGTGGGAGGGGTCTGTTTGACAGGGGATACTTACTCTATCGCGAGATCTGATCCTCCCTCTAAGGTTTTCAGGGGTCCTTATTTGCTGTTCTCAATTAACATTGTTTGATTGAATTTTTAGCATAACAACGATATGCCAAATGCTCTCGCTGACATATCTAATTTGTTAAATAGAAGAATCATGTTGCAGATTTTATTAAAGAAACAATTTATGTCAGAGAGGACATACTTATAAGTATTAGCCTTGCAAATATACTTTGACTTTTGAAATAATGATTATCAAATACCACCCCATCGTCTCAAGCCACGGTCCGGAGTCCACATATAGCTCTCTCTAGAATGGGAGAGGATCGTACATTTTGGCCGTGGTTTGCCAGAATTAAACAAATATGAAAATTCACTACACATTTTATTTAAAAGTTTACTTATTTATTTAATTTGCATTCTGTCAAAATATAAATGTTCTTTCCCTTAAATATGAAATCTTATTCTTGTTCTCCTTTCAGTCGGACCAAAATTATCTATCACTGGGGTTATATCTTCGCAGTAATTGCTGTCAGTTTTGCCATTTTCCCATTCTTTGTGGAAACTTACACCGTTCTGTGCGGAGGTACTTTGATCTACGGAATCTGTTTAGGTTTAATTGTCTCGCAGAGTGTGCCAGTTGTGGTGCAATCATTACCACTAAATTTGAGTTCTATAGGAATGGCTACGGAATTCACAGCGTATGGATTGTGCACAGTATTAGGGGGGTATATATGTGGTAAGTTTTTGTACAAATATTCTGGGGAAAAAAAGGTTGAATTGCACTCCATTTTATATGATAACGATTTTCACTTTTTTTCATTGCAGGATTAATTCGTGACGTCACTGGTGGATATGAAGCCGTATTTTACATGTCCTGTTTGTCGGCCATTTTTTGTTGTTTTGTTTGTCTTCTTCTCCTCTTTGTAGATAAAACGTGTAAACGAAAAACTCCAAATAACGTTCATATCAACACTATCTCGATTATCTCCCATCTATAAATTAAATTTATGTACATTTGTTATTAGTGATATTGGTCCGTTATTTTGCATCGTTGCAAACCCCCGTATTCGAAGTTTCGGGGGTATATAGTTTTGCCCTGTTCGTCTGTTTAACATTACCTATATGTTTGTAGCTCTCATATTTCATGTGTTTCTCCCGACAATGCCTTTCTTTAGGTAACAACCTATTTGACCTCTCGAGCTTGTAATTGAAACTTTAACCTTGAACAGTTGGTCTAGACAAAGTCATTCTAATGACTGCGGCTGACTTACATCTTCTTAAGAACCACTGGGCCAATTTCAACCAAACTTGCCACAAACTATCCTTAGGTAAAGGGGATTCAAGTTTCTTCGAATGAAGGGTTATGTCCTCTTCCAAGGGGAGATAATTATGAATTAGTAAAACATTAATGTCATCTTTTAAAAATCTTCTTCTCCAGAACCACTGGGCCAGTCGCCCGCGCGGCGCGGTGGCTAGAGCGTCTGCTCTAGAGTAGCGAAGTAAGGGGTTAATCCTTACCTCGCGAGTTCGCATCCCACTGTGGGACGTGGAGACCGGTGTCATATAGTGAGACTTCCGCCATAGTGAGACTTCCCCCCTGGGGGAAATATGGCTATATAGTGAGACTACCCCCATAATGACCATAGTGAGTCTTCCCCCTTCGGTTTTCGGTTTGGATTTTATATACATTGACATAATTAAATATTTATTGTATGCTTTAGGGACCTTTTAACTTTTATAAATTTTATGAAGTATTTTGTGGATTTGTATTTCATTTTGAAATTAAATTTGCGTGATATTAATGAAATTACTTCACTATAAAATCAAATAAGATGGATTTGAGTTCTAATACACTTTAAATCAAATTCTGACTGTCATGCATATTTTAGCAAAGGCACCGGATGCATGGATTGGGCTTAATCCCCCCCCCCCTTTTTTTAAATTTATGACCGGAAAAATTGCATGAAAATGTGTGCATCCCCTGCTCATCACACCCATACATCAATTCATACAATTATTTTTTTCATTTTGGTCGTGTTTTAAAAAAATTATTTATTTAAAGATATTTTATTAAACTGGGTTTGGACGATTGGATGTTTGAGTACACGTAAAAAAGGAATAGACAGAACGAAAAACATGGACTGTATTACGAACGGACAGACAGAATTGAAAGAAAAAAAATCACAATGAGAGAAATACATGTACATGTACATATATTAGTAGAGAAAGAGAGAGAGGGGGGAGGAGATATTCAATAAAGTTATGCAAAATACATATTAAACATGTATATTTTAGTCATTTTTATATTGTATTTTTTTTAATTTTAAATTCCTCACTTATGTTAAACAAAATTAATAAATAATAATAATAAATAAATTTAGGTATATGTTCTGAAATATATGTATTTAATAAAAATAAATCTAAGTGCCTCTGATCCTGAGATAAATAATATATTATTTCAAGAAAATCGGTGAACTATTACTTTTCCAATATTTTTTGTTATCAAAACGGGTTTTATCTGCTTATATTTAATACATGAAGTTGTAATAATTTTAATGTTTGTTTTATAAAATGCTTGTATACTGGTTTTCGTCAATTGGAGAAAAACGACCACGGCGCTCAAATCACTGACTCTCTCGTGATTTCAGCAAATTGAATCATGATCAGTTACGGACCTTTCATAAAAATCTGAGATTTATGTGCTATAGTGTAAATTTTTGTCAAACCACTGATCTATGAAGTCTTTAATATTGTAAACGTCCCTGTGGATAAAGTAAATGAAATTTTTCAGCATATCTATTAAATGATGCTTAAAATTATCCTTAAAGTAGATTTAAACTTTATGTACATGAAACTTTCGATAAATATAGTTAGGAACTAAGAAAATCATAAATGAGATTTGGAATGCATGTTTTATTTTTCACATTCGAGCAAAATTATTTTATTTCTCCCATAGTCTTAAAGTACTATAAATTTTTCTTCTTTTCGCTACATTTTTTATTAAATCGGTTGAACCATATCTAATGTGTAAATATATATCTAATGTTTGTACACAAACAGAGAAACAAACAAAAAAAACTATGCTATCAATTTTTTTATTCAAATGCTGAAAACAATCAGAACATTTCATATAAGTGACTCGTGAACTAATAAAATTATTCGTTATCAATACATGTAAAGGAAAGGGTATACATATTATATATATTATATCATCTCAATGTACATGCATATGTTATAATGGATATCCGTGGGGGAAGTCTCACTATATAGCCATTCTTCCGGGGGGAATATCACTATATAGCCAGCCTTCCGAGGGGAAGACTCACTATATAGTGAAGCCTCACTATGGGGGAAGTCTCACTATACGACACCGGTCCTTCGGATGAGACCGTATAAACCGAGGCCCCGTGTCGCAGTAGGTGCTGGCACGAAAAAGATCCCTCCCTGCCCAATGGTCCTGAGTGCCGGGGGTAGGGTGGGGCCACAATGGGATATCAGAGTTTAACAAAAGAACACATAGGAAAAAATCTTTAAAATTATTCTTCTCCAGAACCACAGGGCCAGGAAAGATGAAACTCATGTGGAATGATCCCCAGGTAGTGTAGCGTAGATTCAAGTTTGTTCAAATGATGACCCCCAGGAGTAGGGTGTGGCCACAATGGGGTATCAAAGTTTAACATAGAAACACATAGGAAAAATCTTTAAAATTCACTTGGATTCCTGATTCTGGTTCCATCCTCTCATAAACCTTTCGATATTTTTGCAAAAATTTGCTTTCTAGACTTCTCCTGAAATATTGAACTGCCTCTCCGAAAAAGACTTTGAACAACAAGACTACTAATATTTAAGAAAATGACATATAAAACTATTTTTGTGCTTTTGAAATTTTTTGCTTTTTTCAGACCTTGGCTATTTTTGTCTAGTACATCTTATTGTTTTGTTTTGAGGGATTAAAGCAATGAAATCAAGTTTCATTATCTGTTTGAAGTTCAGACAAACGTGGATAACTTCAATGTTTGGTTTTTTTAAAATAGTTGTTTAGATATTCTTACACACTGTTATTTTCACTCATTAGTAAAACATTAATGTCATCTTTTAAAAATCTTCTTCTCCAGAACCACTGGGCCAGTCGCCCGCATGGCGCACTGGCTAGAGCGTCTGCTCTAGAGTAGCGAAGTAAGGGGTTAATCCTTACCTCGCGAGTTCGCATCCCACTGTGGGACGTGGAGACCGGTCCTTCGGATGAGACCGTATAAACCGAGGCCCCGTGTCGCAGTAGGTGCTGGCACGAAAAAGATCCCCCCTGCCCAATGGTCCTGAGTGCCGGGGGTAGGGTGGGGCCACAATGGGATATCAGAGTTTAACAAAGGAACACATAGGAAAAATCTTTAAAATTATTCTTCTCCAGAACCACAGGGCCAGGAAAGATGAAACTCATGTGGAATGATCCCCAGGTAGTGTAGCGTAGATTCAAGTTTGTTCAAATGATGACCCCAAGGAGTAGGATGTGGCCACAATGGGGTATCAAAGTTTAACATAGAAACACATAGGAAAAATCTTTAAAAATCTTCTTCTCCAGATCCACAGGGCCAGGAAAAATGAAACTCGTGGAATCATCGTCGGGTAGCGAAGATTCAAGTTTGTTCAAATCATGACCCCCGGGGCTAGGGTGGTGCTTCAATGGGGTATCAAAGTTTAACATAGAAAATCATAGGAAAAATCTTTAAAAATCCTCTTCTCAAGATTCACTGGGCCAGGAAAGATGAAATCATGAAGAAGCATCTTCTGAAATTGAAAGGAAGATTTAATTTTGTTCAAATCATGACCCCCAGGGGTAGGGCGGGGCCACAATTGGGTATCAAAGTTTAACATAGGAAGAAATAGGAAAAATCTTTGAAAAAAATCTTTCGCAAGAACTGCAAAGCCGTGATTGGTCATGATTATATGGAAGCATCCTCTGAAAGTGTAGATTCCAGTTTGTTTAACTCATGAACCTTAGTGGTGGGGGAGGGAGGCACAATGGGGGATCAAAGTTTAACAAAGGAAAACTTAGGAAAAATCTTCTCTAGAACAGCAAAGCCATGATTGGTCATAGTTATGTTGAAAAATCTTCGTGTAGTGTAGATTCAAGTTTGTTCAAATCATGACCTCTTTGGCAAGGGTGTGGCCACAATGGGAGATCAAGTTTTTACATGGGAATGCATAGTAAAATTCAATAAAATTCTTCAACAAGAGACCCATGGGCCACATCGCTCACCTGAGAAGCTTTGACCATTCTGTTCTTTACCAGATTTCCCCCTTTAAATACATACTGCGACCTCACCCTACCCCACTGATCATAATTTAGACATTTTGAAATCTACACTACCCCAGGATGCTTCCATGTGCACTAAAGTTTTAGCTTTTCTGGCCCAGTGGTTCTTGAGAAGAAGATTTTCAAAGATTTTTCCTATATATTTCTATGTAAAACTTGGATTTCCCATTGTGGCCCCGCCCTACCCCCGGGGGTCATGATTTGAACAATTTAGAATCTACACTACCCCAGGATGCTTCCACATAAGTTTCAGCTCTAAGGGCCTAGTGGTTCTTGAGAAGAAGATTTTCAAAGATTTTTCCTATATATTTCTATGTAAAACTTGGATTCCCCATTGTGGCCCCGCCCTACCCCCGGGGGTCATGATTTGAACAATTTAGAATCTACACTACCCCAGGATGCTTCCACATAAGTTTCAGCTCTAAGGGCCCAGTGGTTCTTGAGAAGAAGATTTTTCAAAGATTTCTATGTAAAACTTGGATTTCCCATTGTGGCCCCGCCCTGCCCAAGGGGGTCATGATTTTAACAATTTAATATCTACACTACCCCAGGATGCTTCCATATAAGTTTCAGCTCTAAGGGCCCAGTGGTTCTTAAGAGGAAGATTTTTCAAAGATTTCTATGTAAAACTTGGATTTCCCATTGTGGCCCCGTCCTACCCCCGGGGGTCATGATTTGAACAATTTAGAATCTACACTACCCCAG